GCCGCATCACGGCCGCATCTCGGGGCGCATCTCGCAAGCGTGCCTGGCCGCGCGCCGTCAGCGCGTAGAACGCCTTGCCCTCGCTCGCCCTTGCCTTGGTCTCCCCGGCCGGCTCGAAGAAGGCGCCCTCGATCCTGCCCTCGCGCGAGAGCGCCGTCACGATGGAGTGCCTGGGGAGAGATGCGGAGAGAGATGCGGAGAGATGGGGAGAGAGGGGACACACCGCGTGCCTTGAGCCCCCGTGTGAGTTCCCCGGGTGCGCGACAACATGTGCACATGCACGTGCACGTGCATGTGCGTGTGCGTGTGCATGTGACGTGCATGTGCATGTCATGTGCAGCACGTGCATGTGCATGTCATGTGCATGTGCGTGTGCGTGTTATGTGTGGCCCCCTCTCCCCGGGCCCCGCCGGTGCTTTCGCTCTGCCCTTCTACGGCCGAGCGCCGGCTGATGTCGATGGCGTGCGCCTCCGTCGCCTGCAGAGAGGCGAGGGCGTGTGACGGAGTGCTTTTGGGGGTGTGAGAGCACGTGCTTTGTCCGGTAATGTCCGCGAATGGGAGGGCACTTGTGACGAGGCATGATGGAGGGCACTTGTGACGAGGCATGATGGAGGGCACTTGTGACGAGGCATGATGATGGAGGGCACTTGTGACGAGGCATGATGATGGAGGGCACTTGTGACGAGGCATGATGGAGGGCACTTGTGACGAGGCATGATGATGGAGGGCACTTGTGACGAGGCACGATGATGGAGGGCACTTGTGACGAGGCATGATGATGGAGGGCACTTGTGACGAGGCATGATGATGGAGGGCACTTGTGACGAGGCACGATGATGGAGGGCACTTGTGACGAGGCATGATGATGGAGGGCACTTGTGACGGGGCATGATGGAGGGCACTTGTGACGAGGCATGATGATGGAGGGCGAGTGGCAGTCGCTGGTGCGGACACGTGTGCTGAGCCGTGTGTGTGCTCCCCGTCTTGCTTGCCACTACTGGGGAACCAAGAACTGCGCTTCCGTCGCCTGCGTCACGTACTCGACGCTCTCGACGATCTCCCTCCATATCTCCCCGTCTCTCCCCATCTCTCCCCATCTCTCGCCTGCGTCACGTACTCGACGATCTCGACGATCTCCCTCAATATCTCCCCGTCTCTCCCCATCTCTCCCCATCTCTCGCCTGCGTGACGTACTCG